TTCTTCTTCTGCTTTGGGTTTACTGGCAGGCCGCAAACAACTTCACGGCGTATACTGGCGCCCAAAATCCCCGGCCGGAAGTCCCCGGTTGTTGGGGACTGGCTTTCAGTAGAAGCTGCTGGGACTCCCAGCAGCTTCTACTGAAGCTTTCCGAGTAAATCGCCAGAACGCCGACACCCCCTTATCTCCACCGCTCACATGTTTTATTTTGTGTTGCCATAAGTTAGTCTCTCTGCGTTTCTGCGCTGGGCTAATGCTAATGCTAATAAAATGGTGGCTTCACAACACTTTTTTTGAGTTTTACGGGGCGTGGTTCACAATCCGCCCAGCCTATCAGAAATATAGCTCTTTTCTCACAAGAGAGCCGCATGAGAGTCCCTGCTCTCTAGCAGGGACGGAAAAGGGGGTAAAAAGGTTCTCATTAACTAATTTTAGTTCCGGCTCTTTTTGGTGTGAACGCGACATTTCGGAACTATATCGGAACTAAAGTGGGAAAAGTACTCCGGTGTGAACGCGGCTAATTGTATTTGCCTCGTTGGAGACCGTTTTAATGGTAGGGTTAGGGAACAGGCTTGTTACTGGTGTTCAAGGTTAACAAATGAACATCAGCAGGATTTCAGTCAGCGGGATATTAAACAATATTGAGATAACACAGAAATCACACGAGAACAACGACCACGAAGGACGACCGCTTCTTGTCTTTTGGTACTATGAGAGGGTATAACATGTTTCTCAGGGTGTCTAACATATCAACTGCTTCGGTCCCCATTCAACTGTGGTTTAATCTTTCAGGTCCACCCTTTTTTCCAGCAGCTAACTTTGCTGGTATTCGCGGGGTCTGGAAGTGTCTTGTTTATGACGTTCAGAGACAGCTTTTGAAAGATATGAATGAATTATTTCCTATAAATGATTGTTGGCTCAAAGTTACAAAATAAGAGCCATGACCGCTCTGCAGCAGTGGAGTCAGCTGAGGCTTTAACGTGCACACCTCTGACATCCAGAGGACATTATATATATTATAACTGACAGCTGTGTGACACTTCCCCTGCATTACTCTCACCCGAGTGTAGAGCTGTTGATCCGACCGTATGATATAAATCTGTGATTGCTGCAACTTGTCGGGGCTGTAGAGGTAGAACATTATGGTCCAAAGGCTGATGCAATAGAATTATTGACTACGTCTCTCCTGACAACCAGACAAGGTCTCACATTAACTCATACCTGAGCTGGCAGCCCGGCAGCAGTCGGTTTCTCACAGAGCTTTGTGTTTGAAATCATGCTTCAGTCACAGTGGGGGTTCTGTGAGATAATCAGGTGTCTCTGCACTCAGATAAAGACTCCCACAGTCGCTCCTTTCAAAATCCAAAGATTGAAAGGCTTTTTTTGTCATACGCATAATCGCTCAAGTGTAGGCAATGAAAGAGGCTTCTCACACAGTGCCACATACCATATAACCAGACATGAAGAGGACACAAAGCGGAGTGTAAGGAAAGCAACTGTGTTGAGTGTAAGCTCTAATCCTGCTGATATTTCTGAGGATCATTTCAACCTCATGTGAGGCTAGACATGAATGTGTATAGCTGAGACTTTGAAGTGTAATATTAGGACGTTTGATCTCCACCTGATCTCCAGAAGGGCCGAGGAGTTCAAAACTTTGAATCCCTATCTGATCAAATCAGATTTGGATGTTGGGGAGTTCAAAACCAAAAAACAGGATTAGGATCACTTTGATATCCGATCAGATCAGGAAATCCGATCCAAGCTTTAATCTGGATCAAATCTTCAAAACGGGTAGTTCAAACCAAACACAGGATTGGGATCAGTTTGATCCCAAAAAACTGGATTATCCTGATCCCACCAAAGGGGTGGATTTCCAGTGGATTACCAGAGCAAAATGTACTGTACAATTTATTTTAAAATATGTTTCAATTTAAATAAGATGGCAAAGTTTGTTAACTGAAATAATACACAATTTTTAGCCTTCATGGGAAATAAATTTTATTTTTTCCATTTTTGCTCACGTTTGTGGTGGCCTATTTTGTTTTCAACCAAATGTTGATGACATAAATGTTTATGCTCATAAAAGTATCACAGCAAAGATTGTCAATCACAAATGTAATTTAGATTAAAGTAAAAATATCTTCAACAAAAAAAAAGTCCATCATCTGTCATCACCTTTCAAATAAAAAAATATAATTAGACATTATAGATGTCTCTGCAATGTGGTCTCTTGTCTTCCTTGTATTATTTTTCATATCCACTAGATGGCGATCGGTAGGATTAAAGCACTGATATTCAGGATCTAGTCATCTTGAAAAATCGTAATCTGGATCAGGGTGATCCTATCCTGAATTGCTTTGAACTCCAGGGACAACATTTGGCCGACTTGTCTGATCCTAGATCACAAAAAATGGGATTTCAAAATGAGATCGGATCTGATTGAGATTAAAAGTTTTGAACTCCTGGGCCCAGAAGTCGTAGGATGAATAAAATATGAATCTATTGACACCTGTATGTTTGTGGGCTGAGTGTCTATCTTTGCAGCGCCCAACTCCTGTGTAATCCAAAAATAGGCAAAGGTGTGGTTCATGGCTAGCAGCTAGCCCCCTGTGGCCGTACCCACCTGTAGGGATGGGTACCGAGCCCCGGTATTAAACGGGTCCCGGGGCTGAATTATTAAAGACCGTGGTACCGTTAAGCTCCGACGTTATCGGTCTTTTTATCGGTACTGGAGACATCTAAAAATATATGTCATAATTATTGCTACACAAACATTATATTGCAGTTTTAGTGTCGCCAACAGTTTCTAATACGCAAAAAGACTGCAAAATGCGTCTGTGATTATTTTTTGTATTTTCTATCTTTCCAATCCAGTCGAGCGATCTCTCTCCCCCGCCTGCTTGGGAGGGGGCGGGGCAGTTGACACACGCACGCTGCTCAGCTGCTACATGCAGCAACACACTGCGGAGATGGCGGTAAGAACGCGCTCCGACGTGTGGTTAAACTTTACCTGCCTCGATGTGGACGATGCTCGTTACCAAAAGTGCAATAAGAGTTTAGCATGTAAGGGCGGTAACACGAGCAATTTGTCTAAACATTTAGCAAAAGTGCACCACATTCAGACGGAGGAATGCACCGGGTTCGACTGTCTTTCTAGTAGCTCTGTAGCCCCATCCACGAGTAACGTTTCCACGTCAGGTGTTATGTATGCTAGCAGCAACACATGGAGTTAACTACATTATACAAACATGGGTTAATGATTAGAGAGGTAACTGAGTTATTTATTTTGTTAAAGTTTCAGCTATTCTGTTTACAGTTCTGTCATCAGATTATTTAATACGATTTGTTAAAGCATTGTTGTTTCTTTTGATGTGAAATATTATGTATTTGATTTAAATAAAAAGCAATGTTAGTTTTGTTCACAATTTGTTTACCTTTTTTTTCTCAGAAATAACCGATAAAAGTACCGTTAAAAGACCGGACCGATAAGTGGTATCGATAAAAGTAGTAGTACCGTTAAAACCTTAACGATACCCATCCCTACCCACCGGTCACTCTAACCCTTAATTATACATAACTTTAAGCCTTAATAACAAAAGTTATACAGAACCCATTTTTTCTTAACTTTCTTAATTTCTTCTAGATTTTCTAATATCGCAGACAAGAACCTTTTCGATTTCCCTAAAGCATTCCAACAGTACCTGGTCTCCGTGTGCGTGCCTGCCGATGACGATGGGCTTGGTCCAGCCGGGCACCAGGCGGGGGATGTTCTTGCAGAGGATGGGCTCCCTGAACACGGTTCCTCCCAGGATGTTCCGGATGGTGCCGTTTGGAGAGCGCCACATCTGCTTCAGCTTGAACTCCTCCACGCGGTTCTCGTCTGGCGTGATGGTGGCACATTTGATGCCCACGCTGTAACGCTGCACCGCCTCCGCCGCCTCCACCGTGATCCGGTCGTCTGTCGCATCGCGGCTCTCCATACCCAGGTCATAGCTGCACAGAAAGAGACAAAGATGAGGGAGTTTAGTTCATGTTGCAGTAAAGAAAACATCCTCTCAGTCAACACTGAGCTGATTCCAGATCAGATGCACGCTGAAGGCTCTGTGAGCAGCTTTTCTCTCACTGATCGTGCTGCTATGTTAAATGTTTGTTGTTCATGTGTTGTGTCTTGATATGTGTCTGTTGATGTTAAACCAATCAAGTGTTATCGTATCGTTCGTCCTGGAAATGTGTTCAAATGTCCTACACCTATGTAAGCAACACCATACTTTTTTCAAGACTTTATTTTGAGGCATATAAACATTTTTAAAATCGTTTCTCAAGAACAAACAGAGTGCTAAACTTCAGGAACGATCAGTGAACTTTAATCTAAAATAATGTGGAAAGTAGCCTGGATATATTTGATAAAAGTGCAAATAAACAGGCCTAAGAATAAACCAAATATTTAATGGGAGCTCCGATTAATTGACACTTCCGTAATGTTTTTATATTTTTCAATTGTACATTTGTATTTCAACATGTATATTTTCTACTTTTTTTAAATGCCATTTTAAGTCTATTGAGATGTTTAGGATTGTTTATTTCTAGTCTTTCTAATTTGTATTGTACAATGCCATGTCTTTTTATGCTGCTGCAACGCAAGCATTTCCCAAATTGGGATCAATAAAGGACTTCTTATCTTAAGAAAACAATACTTTTTTCAAGACTTGTTTTGAGGCATAAAAACATTTTGTAAATATTTTGTCTTAACAAACAAGGTGCTAAACTTCAGGATCGATCAGTGAAAATTAATCTAAAATAATGTGGAAAGTAGCCTGGGCCCAGGAGTTCAAAACTTTTAATCTCAATCAGATCCGATCAGATTTTGAAATCCCATTTTTTGTGATCTAGGATCAGACAAGTCGGACAGATTTTGTCCCTGGAGTTCAAAGCAATTCAGGATCAGCCTGATCCAGATTACGATTTTTCAAGATGACTAGATCCTGAATATCAGTGCTTTAATCCTACCGATCGCCATCTAGTGGACATGAACAATAATACAAGGAAGACAAGAGACCACATTGCAGAGACATCTATTGTCTGCAATTACTTTTGAAAGGTGATGACAGATAGATGGACATTATATTTGTTGAAGATATTTTTTCTTTAATCTAAATTACATTTGTGATTGACAATCTTTGTTGTGATACTTTCATGAGCATAAACATTTATGTCATCAACATTTGGTTGAAAACAAAATAAGCCACCACAAACGTGACCAAAAAATGAAAAATAAAATTGATTTGCCATGAAGGCTAAAAATTGTGTATTATTTCAGTTAACAAACTTTGCCATCTTATTTAAATTGAAACATATTTTTAAATAAATTGTACAGTACATTTTGCTCTGGTAATCCACTGGAAATCCACCCCTCTGGTGGGATCAGGATAATCCAGTTTTTTGGGATCAAACTGATCCCAATCCTGTGTTGTCAGTTTGAACTACCCATTTTGAAGATTTGATCCAGATTAAAGCTTGGATTGGATTTCCTGATCTGGTCGGATATCAAAGTGATCCTAATCCTGTTTTTTGGTTTTGAACTCCCCAAAATCCAAATCTGATCTGATCAGATAGGGATTAAAAGTGTTGAACTCCTGGGCCCTGGATATATTTGATAAAAGATCAAATAAACAGGCCTAAAACTAAACCAAATATGTAATGGGAGCTCCGATTAATTTACACCTTTTGATCCTTAAATGCTTCATGTTTTGCTCTGCGTTTAAGTTTGCGATTACACAGAGATGTAAGAAGAAGAAATGGACCAGACATGGAGACCATTTATAATCTGAACAGCAGAGGCATGAGACACCGTTAAACAGAAACACTCTGTTCAGAGAAGGACAGAGATTATGAACGCCTTGTTTGCTCAAAGCACAACGAAGCAGTAAAAGAGAACGTTCTGTTTGCTTCTCTTTTAATTAGCCAGCAGCTACTCTGTGGATGTTACAGTGTGATCGCTGTGATGGGAAAACTGTGTCAGAGGACATGAGCGACATTAATGAATACTGAAAGAGAGTGCTTCTGCTTAGAGGAGCGACTCAAACTGCTGCCAGGGTTTTATCCTCTTATCTAGGCTAATTATATTTCTTGGAAGCCCTGACACGGTGTACATTAAGAACAGATATTAACCTTGTATCTCACTCGCTGAGATGGCAAAAGTACA